AAACTGATAACTGTGTTGGAGATAGGCTAACCACCACATAGTGAGGCTTAATATATCCTGTCTTTGCCAACTCCAACTTTGCAAATAGTGTAGTGAAAATTAGGTCTTCATTTGTCAGAAGGAGGTTTTCATGTGCTTGTTTGAAGTTGACTTACGGATTAAGGTGGATTTTGATCCACATTTTCTCTTACCAAGAAAAGAGGACTTTGTGTTCCTTGTGCATAAATGGATTGATAAGGCTCTCTTCCGCCAGAATATTACAGAGGATGCACAAGATTCTTACGAAGGGCTGCTTATATCAATGGCAAGTAGTCTCTTCTTTATATGAGTGTAACATGATGTATTTGAATTGTTCATTTAACTCTTCTGCCCTGGCCTGTATTGTAAATGTACTTCTCTGTCGATTTCTAAGTGAAGAAACTGTTGTACAACAAACAGTAACTTACTAATCATCGCATCCATTTTAATTTTAAGTGTGTGTGGTTCAAAACTCCTGCACAGGAAGTAGGCTTTTTATCCACTTCAGCTCTTGCTGCTTCCTGAAGTGCACCCAGGAGAAGCCCTGAGAAGGTCTTAGAATGAAAAGAATGGAGAAGCTCCACTTCCAAGAGGTACTGGAAATGTCCTCAGTCAGCTCAGTAGTTGTAGGTGTTACAGAATTATGCTAGTCTTCCTATAATTATAGATCCAAATGCTGTCAAGACTAGTATTTCAGAGAAGAGAGGACATGTGCTTGCCTATTTGAGTCTTAAGTTACAGGGGTGTGAGTCCATATATCCTTTTAATTCTCATCTTCCTAAAGAAAAGGCTTTATGATCATCCTGCATCTTACAACCTTTCTCTCCAAAATTTATAGGGTAGGTGAGCTAGCAGAATTGCTGTGTCTTTTGAAGCCAAGGGCTCCCTGTAAGAGGGCAAGAGCTTTAGCTGCCATGAAGAGAACACAGGAAATATCCTTTTTCTTTTGACGTGAACATGACTGGCTAAATATAGAGAGAGTTGGAGCCAGTACACTTTTCTTTTACCTGTATCTGTTTTGAACTGATAAATGTTATCTTTCTCCTCTCTACAGCTTTTTTAAAAGCTCACTGCAAGCTCAGTCTGGAGGATGGCTGGGTTTGACTATGTACTCTCAGCTTCAGGAGAGAAAGCAGTGTCATTATTGCACTTTAAGAGAAAATACAGAAATTAGCACAACTGGACTTTGAACATGGCTTTTTAACTGACTTTCCAACTGTACCTGATCTCCTAATTGTGGCCTTGCAGACCTTGCCAGTGCAAAAATCCCTCTGGAAAGAAAGTTGCCTTGTCACAGAAGAGCCCATGTGATGTAAATAGTTCCAATGGTTTGCTATTACTTCAGGAGCAACTCATGTTTATTTATTTGAGTCTTAATACTTGGCAACTAGTGATGAAGAAGCATTATTGTCTAAATCAATAAAGCTAGCCATTTATAGCTAAATGTCCACCTTTCCTCCCCAGCTTGATAAGAAATACTCCAAGGAGTACAGTAGTTTTAGCTAGTCTATGCCAAGAATACAATCTTAGGCAATATTGCTAACATCACCTCAGCATGGATTCATAAGGGCCAAAATTCATGCATAAGAATAAGCCAGCCCTACCCTCATCATCACTGTCAAACTCTATCACTGTTAGTCTTTACTCTTATTTGTAGAGTAGAATTTTTAGCATTTTTGGTTTTGGAGAAAAAATCAGAATCATAAACTTGTCTTTTAATCCAAACTCAACATTTTTTTTTGGACTGAAGAGATTATTTTTTTTTTTAATACAATGTATTTATTATCCTGTTTTCTGTATCTTTACCACACCAAAGCAAATGTGTTTAATGAGAAGAAAGGCTATAATTAGGATCAAATCTCCCTACATTACAGGTACACATGAACTGAAACAGGGGAAGTTCAGGTTAGATCTAAGGCAGAAGCTCTTCCCTGTGAGGGTGCTGAGGCGCTGGCACAGGGTGCCCGGAGAAGCTGTGGCTGCCCCATCCCTGACAGTATTCAAGGCCAGGTTGGACACAGGGGCTTTGAACAATCGTGTGAGGTGTCCCTGCCCATGGCAGGGGATTGGAACTGAATGAGCTTTAAGGTCCTTTCCACCCCAAACCATGCTATAATTCTATGAACATTAGTGCTACAGACTGAGCTGGTGTTACTCTGCAAGCCAGACAGCTCTGCTGTACTGGTGCAGTGTGGGCAATATTCAGGACTGTGAACAAGTTCCAGAATGAAATCAATGCAGACGTTGTTGCTGACCGAGCTGGAGAGTGCTGTGTGTGCACTGCTGTCTACCATATGCACCAGAAAATCCTGCTGCAGAGCTTCTAGTTGCCACCATGATTATCATAGAGGCAGATGATGTCACCGCTAGAGGGCAAATGGAAAAGGTTTTTGTCATCGTTAGTGTTATTTATGTCAAAGCATCAGTGCTTTAAAAATCTGTTTTTAGAGAAGGAACAAACCTGAACATTCACTTTTGTTTGGGAGCTCTGGGCACACTGAAAGCTCCATTATTTTTTACTTAAATAGAACTGCAGCTGTTGAATGGTTTTCTATAATGTACTTTATTGCAGTGCTACAAGTTGCCTGGAGATATTTTCTAGTCACAAGCAGTCTGCAAATTATACCAAGCAAATTGTAAATAGGGCTGAAAAATTAAGAAATCCACAAGCTTGTCTGACACAACTTTTTACTCCATTGGAGAAATTTGGCTTGATTTAATCACAGCAAGACAAAGCATCTTTACTATAAGTGAGATTCAGGGCCTACATTACTAATGTATTACATCTTTATTGTACCTTCATTAATTCTGAAGTTGTATCGTCTGAACCTCTCCATTACATTCTGTGTAACTTGTGTTCACTGCATCCTTTCTAAAGGACATTTTCAAGCATGACTATCTGTTAACAAAAAGATGTACCTACAATACGATTACTTAATGACAGCTCCTGCCACAGCTAGAATTACCTCATCTCCTGAAATCCTCTGTAACGGCTTAGGCTTGAGAAGCATAACCCACAGAAGATATCTCAGACATTTCACATTTTACTTTCTGTCCAGATGTACTTCTTGTAAGAACCAATTTTGGAAAAAAACATGCCCCATACTACTTCTTGTGGACTCCAACTGACTTTCTGCTATTTCACAACCAGTTCTTCCTCTAGTTATCAGTCACTGATACATCTTCACTTGTCAAGCATCTGGCTGCCTCTAATAAAAGACATACTCTCTATACCCTTCAGTGAGTACCAGCAGCACTGTGGCCATGGTAATGCAGAGCTCAGCATCACATAATCACTGAGTAGATGTATATTCAGGACACAGGATCAGTTTTGCAGTTTGCCCTGAGCTTTTCCCCATTCTGAGTAAACTGCTAATAGTAGGCAAGCCAGCCCAGGCTTGTTTCCTAGAGCTGCTGTAACATTTCTCACTGCAGTGTAGACATTCCATTAACTGTTTTCACTGAGGATCAGAGCAACTAGTTACAATGTGAAGCTTGTAAGTCCAAAACGTCTGATTTAAGGATAGCCTTTTATCCTTTGACAGCTTTCCCCCAAATTGTTATACAATAAAACATCCTTACCGTGTAAGAATCAACTCCATCACTTGATTATATTTCTTAAATCAGATAAAATAGAAATGTCAGAGATACTAGTAAAAACTTCACTGAGTGGGAATACTGCCTCAAAAGGTGGACACCTCAGTAGCTGGAGTAACTACAAGAAAATGCAAAGTGCTGTATTTGCACTTGCTACTCTGATTTATGCTGTTTAATATCAATACACCTAACTCCAGCACATTTTAACTGTGTCCATAGCTGTAATACTGAGGGCTGATCTCTAGATCTGTGGTAGCTGACCCAAGCTTTTAGGTTCCACCTTGCAAGCTACAGATGTGCATCAAAGTCAGCCTAGAAGCTGCCTGTTCACATTGATGGGATGCTTCTATCCCTGAGCTAAGCAGCTCCATCTAAACTTCTGCACCAAAACAGGACTCATTAGCCTGAATATGATTGCTCATTATGTCTGTTGGGCTGAACCTTCTGTTATCACCTGTATGTATAGTTGCCTTGATTTATAAAAAGGCTTCTCCATGGCAATGTGGTTCACAGTATCCTCTGCAACACTACAGGATAAAAACATCTTGGTTCAGTCCTTGAAACGTGTGATGATAAGCAGTATTTTATACAGCAATATTAGTGCTTATGATACTAGTTTATGGTATAGAGAGCAATTAAGGGAACACATTTCCTGCCCTTAGGAGCTTACAATCTGAACAAAATACATTGCACGGAAGAGATGAGCATACAAAAAGCAGAATCATTGTTTTCTTACTTTCAGTGCAGGTCTTGCTATCATAAGGGATTTTGAACAGAACAAGGAGTTAAAGGTGTTACTGTAAATTAAAATGAAAGGTGATAAACAGAGTGATAGCTCAAGGAATTAGTATAAAAGTGGCTCAAAGAAATAAATTATAGAATCAATTAGGTTGGAAAAGACCTTTAAGGTCATTGTGTCCAACTCTTAACACTGCCAAGGCACTAAACCAGAGCTGTTGAAAAGCAGGCTGCAGACCTTTATTAGCTGAAGGCCAAGGTCAAAACTCATGCATAGATTTGCATGAATAAATGCTGAAGCAGTCTGCACAAGTACTGGCTTGAATCTTTTCACACAGTAATTGCAGCTTCTGCTCACTGAAAACATTCCCTTATGCGTCAAGAAAATAGCCATTTATAAGATGTAAGGAAAATATTACAGACTGTGATTTTCAAGAGACTCATTGAGCAGCAGAGGGACAAATAGTAATAGGCAATATGAGAAGAAAAAGGAAAAGCATAGGCAATAGCATCCCTTCACCCCATTACTTAACTTCAGAGTGATTAATAGTAGTAGAAAACCTAAGTGCTAAATTGAAGTAATTCCATCTTCCTACAGAAGTGAGTTCTTAGCAATAACGTATTTCTACAGTATTTCTCATTGCAGATGTTTAGTGGTTTAGGAGTTAGGCCACAGATACCTCAGCTCTTCAGACTTTTGGAATATGCTTTGGAGATTAATTTGGCCACAGCAAACTGAGGGATATAATGAACTTAAAGGATTTCTGCTCTCTCTTTCACTTCTTTACCTCCCCTTTAAATGTCTTGGTAGTTGTTTCTGCGCCTGCAGCGTCCATAATGATAAAGGAGGTAGAGCAGCACAAGGTCAAAGATGAACAACAAGCCAACAGCAACGTCAAAGCCAATGAAAATATCTGTGAAGGAAAAAGAGTAAAGGAAAAGTGAGTTGATAGAGACATACATGGGTATTATTTTAGATAGAGTTAACATTCAAATGTACAATGTACAAATGTACAATGGAAATAGAGTTGCATTTGGTCATGTTTCTGGCAAGATCACGTGGCCTGCATTTACTGACATACACAACACAAGTATAAAAACATATACCTGGAAATGCATATCTATGCTTTTTCTTTCTCCTGTGCATTAATCTTTCTCCTCTGTTTTCACAGGCCAAGAAGGAAACGTGTAGTTAATGAAAACAAAAGCATTTCATCAGGGATCAGCAAAACACTGAATAAATGCAGGAAGGGGAAAATACCAGGACTATTGATTGGAAAGTAGCATGTATTGCCTTGCCCTTCACTTCGCTCCTGGAAATAATACTCAGGCAGGAAGAGGTTATCAGCTGTGGGTAGTCTGAGGCAAATAGCTGCTCTCTGTGCATGGATCAGCTGCACTCTGCACAGTGGAGGTTTAGGTGTCCTCAAAACATCGTACATGTGCTATCAATATACATGCAGCAATCTTACTGTGCATGTGCAAGCCATTTTTGCTTTGCATCTACAGAGGGTCTGATGTGTCCAACATGCACAGGACTCCTTGCATAGTACCTGCACCCGTGTTTCCCTTGGACATTTCCAGCAAATGGAGCTCTCATTTTGGCCATGGCCTTTTGGTAGCTCCTTATGTGAATATGCTATTAAGAACACTTCCTTCACACTGCTGGGCAGATCTGCTCTTCACATTTTCAGAGAAATTTAATTTCTCTTGGCTTTCCCCGTCCATAGTAAAGCTGGTCCTCACTAGTTAAAGGGAGATCTCCCTCCTGTATGAAAGGTACAAAGTTTGGAGCCAGTGATCCTATTTCTGCCTCAGTGTCTTGTGTAGAAAATACAGAGCTGTTACCCTACCTTTCATTTTGTCTCTATTCCCACATTCTTTTGACCAGTTTTCTGTAATCACAGGAGAAACTAGTTCAGCAAACTTCTCAAGTGGACAAGAAGAGGTGCATCCTGGCAGGGTCAGTGGGTAAGGAGCCTTTGAGGAGTCGTTCCGATAATGCATTTCAATACTGTACCGCCTGATGAACAACATCGAAAAGGTGTTTTTGAAAAGGTTCTTAAATAGAAGCTATCCTGTTTAGAGACAGAATGTTGGAAACATCCTACTCTAGAACCTGTTTGTAAAGAATGGCAGCTTTGTGGAAGACATCTGCAAAGCCCACTTTGCCAGTGCTGGTTACATTATTTACAGATCGCTAGCGAGCTCAAAAGGTCCTTCTGAAGGTTCCTTGAGTTGCAACAGCGCCAGGGTCTTCTAAGCCAACTGGTTTACCTTGGGATTTATGGCATGTCTTGGAAATGGTTTTGCTATCATTTGAAGTATTAGGAAAATGTATTTTACCATTTACTTCCTGCTAGTAAGGACTGTTTTCTTCTTGTTCCTGTTTTTCAAAGCACACAGATGCATGCATCAAATGTAATTGCTCCTATTTTTAATCTAAGTTTGTATCTGTTTACTGCTCAGTGAATTATCAGTTTAAAACAATATTTGAGAGGAAAGTGATTTGGGGGAAAGGGGAAACCAATTCCAAACACTCCTTGTTCTGGCATACGTAAGAAGATACTTGCCCACTACTTTCTTGGTAGAGTTCAAAGAACTGGCAAGCAGCATATGGTGGCAGTTTTCCATTGAAAATATTGAGAGCAATCTGGAGGGCCCCAACTGTGGTGTCATGCTATTGGAAAGAAAAAAAATCCCATCCTTGAAAGTCCATTTATCCAGAGTAATGAAACAAGAGTAGAGGGGGAGCAGAAATCAAGATAAATCCCTATATGCACCATTGGGAAAACCACCTTACTACAGACAGCAGGAGCATTCTCAAAGAGTTACTGCACAATGTGTCTTACACCATCTGGCAACATTTTGGCAACAGAGATACTGGAGGAAAGCAAGATGTGGTCTGAGTAATAAATCTAGTTTTTCAGTGCATATTGCTACTCCTTCTTTCGGGGGTGTTAGGTTAAGGCAGCATAAGGTAGTATATCCTGTGGCATTTCAAGTGAAGATACAAGTTCTTGTTTTTAGGTAGAATAGCAGACAGATAGTTGCATACAAAGACTGTCCTCCACACACACTGCAGAACTTTAAAAATTGTTGTTCCTTTTGTTTGGAATTACACAATAAAATCTCAGTTTGGCTTCTATTTTGATGGAATCGGTTACCAACCCAGCTGCAGTCTCTTCCTCTCCCTATTATCCCTCCTCTTGCAGGGTATGCCAGGAGGAGGAGCTGAAGGAAGTCCAAACAGCCTGATGTCTAAATTTTGCAAGCATCTTTATATATATATCTGCAAGGCTTATTTATATTATAATCCAATAGCCATGTTTTAATTATTATTCAGGATCTGGAACTTTCTAGTTTGAAAAATAAATGTATACTTGGCCTCAGGGCATTAAAGCAGCAGTGAAAATTCTGGATGCACTTCTTCCTTACCAGAAAGAATATAGTAGGGCTAGAAAACATGTTGAAAAGGCAGCAAGAAAGATTTAAGGTAATGAGCAGTTTCTATATGAGGAAAGATTAAATAGGGTAGGACTGTTGTCTCGGAAAAGGAAAGATGGAAGAGGTGTGACAGAAAATAGGAAATTCAGGAGTGACCCAGAAAAAGGGGCTAAAGAATGATTATTCCCTGTTTCTCACAATAGAAATGCTGGGAAGGAGCTAAATCAGTATTAAGTTTCAAAAATAAGAAATGAAGTACTTCTTTTAACACACAAGTCATTGCCACAGAATGTTGCAGAGGCCATAAGTATAAATGCATTCAAAAAGGGATTAGATAAATTAATGGAAGAAAGTCTGTCAAGAGCTATTAAACACACAGACATTCTATCTCAGAAGTCCCTTAGCCACAGATTGCAGGAAGGTTGTATCAGGGGGAGCATCACTCTGTGCTAGCATTATTCTCGCATTCTTCCCTGCTCTTGGCCATGGTTAGAGACAGGATAATGAATGAGCAGAGTGGATCTTGGTCTGATCCAAATGGCTGTCTTCATTCTCTGAAAGAATCAAAGAAGAGCCCACAGCTGTGTCATCCCTTCCTAAGCAGAGGGAAGGTTTGGAGGTGCAGCTGAAGTTCTGCTGTTTGCCAGCATCTCTGGGTTAGGAGCACTTCAGGAAAGATGCAACTCATCTTTCCTGATGCATCACCCTTTTCAAGTGCAGAAATGGATGATCAACCCCATAGTTTTCTTTAGCAAGTACAGTTTGACTGTAACTGAGATTAGATCCATGCTCCTGCTGTGTTCTTGTACTGACTGGTGTTCAGCTTGTTACCTGAATTGAATTCTATTATATTATTCTTTAACTTGCAGGGAGACTCGGATTATTTTCGTCAAGGGTCTTTTACTGGCAAAACCATAGCAAGATTTATGAAAGATGAAAATACTCACTGCAGAGTAGACCTCCATTTTTCTTTGTTTTGAAGAATTGGCAGCTTGCTTAATACTATTTAAAATAATATTCACAAGGACACCTTTAAAATGTGGGAACAAGGAAGAGGAAAGTGAAGATATAACATTTGCATAGAAACCAAAAAGGCAAAAGGTTTTGCATATCAAACAGAAGGCATCTACTCAGGCTTTATACTCTTTTTTTAGCTTACTACAATTTCATAACTAGAGAGAAGGTATTGCAGAGGAAACCGTCCAGAACTATCCTGAGAACTGGGGCTAATGACATTTCCAGTTTTGTTAGGCTGAAACCTCCTCTCCATCATTTTCTGTCTGTTCGGAGCGTTGCAATAATGCAAACTGTACTAGCCTCTAACTACCGCCAAATGGCCCATGCTGTGGATATTCAAGCTCATTTGTTTGGGTTTACTGCTCCTGGACACCTGGGAATCATATGAGAAATTCCTGGGTTGTGTCCTGAAGTTGTATCAGAATGGGCATAGCCTATGTGCCCCAGTTTTGGAGGTAAGCACTAGTCCTAGTTCTTGCAGTTTAGAAACAACTTGAATCTCCCTCTTCTGATCAGGCTGGTTTGGAGCAGCTTTATATCTGTCTCTCAGAGAGCCACCAGTGTATTGTCAAGTTTTTGGCACAATATATAACCAGTTCATCAAAGGAACGAACAAAGATCAGGAAGCAATTAGAATAAATGCTGGAGAAACAGAACTTAACCTAACCTAATATCAGACAAGTAATGGCTATACCCATGAGGGCTTACTTTTTCCCCCTTGAATTTCAGTACTCTTAAAATCCTGGAAAAGCATAGGATAATTAAAGACATTAATGTTTACACCTGTTTTTAATATCTCCACCATGCAAATGCCAGCATTCAGCACATATTTTGGTGCCGAATATGGCATCCAATGTCCAGAATTACAAACCAAGGTTCTGTATCAATGCTTTTGCATGAGGAAGGTGACAGGATGTTGCATGTTACCGTAAGCATTGTCTCCTCCTGTCTGAGAGCTATGCATTTTATATTTACCTCCTTGCAGTCGTGATTTCTCTTCTGTCTTATAAATCCCAAATAGTGATAATAAGGACAATTCTGCCAGTTCTTCCATCTTGTTGATTACATCTTTGGTAGCCCATACAGGGAGAGTGAAATTGTGAATACCCTGGTGAGAAAGGAAAGCAAAATCATGGTTTTTTTTCCTTCTATTGCCCTATTGCCCATGCTCACACTACTACATTTAGACTCTTTGAGGCTGTCCTGCACTTCTTTGCCAAGTGTGGTATCATTCATCAGCATGCCTGAAGTGGATGAATGGGAAAAGGGAAAACACCTGTGAAGGGAATCCTTTGTAGATATAACGTGTTCTTTCTATAGAGGTATACGGGTTTGGTTTTGCTAGTGTGAAAGATTGCAGACATGTCTTATCATCTTCTTTTCTTCTTTGTCTTTATGGTATAACCTGGATCCAACTTTTCCTGCCTTTTCCATACACTTGTCCAGATGCCAGTTTTATCAGTGGCCATTTACAGACAAGTGTCACTCTCCAGGCATGTAAGAGTGACAGTGTCTTACAGTGTTTAAGTGCCTCAGTGCCTAGAGGGCATGTTCAAGAGCCTTTATGTGCTGCTCATAATGACTGGGACCAGATGGTACCATGCCATGCTTGGGGCTAGTCTGATTTTACTCACTGGAAGGTATCATTGTCTCCTAATTTTCTAACTGATAACTTATAATCTTACCTCTCATTTTCAACATCTCCATATTTTGGTGGTTACCTGTTGGTAGGTGAAAGCAAATTATTCCCTGTTAAAAATCATAAATATGTCATAGGCAGCACACTCGATCCTATAGCAGGTTTTTTGGAAGGAAAAGGAGGCAGTAAAGGGAATGGATTTCAGTATCAGTGCTTCAGGATAAAACGTGAAATGGAAACAACAGTTTCCTGAGCTGTGAACCATGGGTTTTGGTTATCCTTAACCAGTGCTCTGAATCAGAACTTAGATTCAAATTTAAAAGAATTAAATAAGTAATAATAAAAAAGGGCAAATCCAGAAGAAAAGGCAACTCCTTCCTATGAAGCCACATGGCCATGGTTTAACAGAAGCACCACTTGGGAGTCATTCCTTCCTGATTCCTTCTCAGTCGCCTTATTATTACCTCGCAGTGAAGAGTGTCGTATGTATTCCAGAGCTGGAAATTATCCAGTATTTTAAGATGATTTAGTTCAAGTCCTGTGTTAACTGCCATCGTTTGTATAAAATCCTGGTGGAAAAAAAAGTGCAAAGTGTACCACAAGTACTCAATACATATGGAGCATAGATGCATACAGATACATTTCCAACCCAGAAACACAGTAGCATTTAATTTTACACCAGTGAAACCCTTGTAGCAGAAGGTTTTCATTGCAGATTTGATTTTGTAACCATTTGAAGGTTCTGATCTCTATTTCAGGTGCACTTTTTTCAGCCCTGCTATGGGTAAATTTGGTGCTTCCTCTGCTGCACTCTTCTCTCCCTCTTCTGACTGCTCCAAGAGGCTACCTCAGTCCCCTCAAGCCTTCAGATACAAGGAAGGGGAAAGCACTGAGGGAAAAGGAAAATGAGAATAAAGGTGAGGAGAAAATACAAAATTAAAGAGAGCTGAGGATAATACTCAGGGTGAGGTAAAATGAAATTGAAAAGGAAACGAGGTTTTCTTTCTGCCCTCAAAGGGAAGCTGAATGTCTGAGTAATAGTTCCACAATAGTTCCCATAGGGATTCGTTCTGCATGCTGCTATAGAAGAATAAAGGGATTCCCTAGTGTGCTTTATTCCCATGTTACCTGTTTCCTACTAATAGCTGAAAGACAGGATGACTTTGAAGTCAGAATTCACTTCCCTGTGTACATGTGCTGTCAGGGTTTGAGGAGCACAAGATCCCTGTTAGATTTGTGCTTGTACAAAGTGCATGGTAGGCAAACAGGAGAGCAGCAGCAGCCGCTCTCCAGAACAATTGTTATCGTCAAGAGCATGGTTGCTTGAGGCAGGTACACCATCCATGTGCCTACATCCTGCTGCAGCACTGGGATGGGAAGTTCTGAATCTCTTGACTGTGGCATGTTTTGTGATGGATCCAAAATGCACCTCAGAGAAGTCTGCATAAGCCAGAGTGTTCGCCAGCTCGGGCAAGCTTTAGTTCTCTTCTGTAGTGTCAACAGGTTTCACAGCAAGAAGGCATAAACCTTCCCAAGGCTCAGATTTACCAGATTTCTTAGACTCGGTTTTGTGCTGCCCATTAAAACTAGAAATCCCTGCATCCAGAATTGTCTTCTCCCCTCCCATCATGGCACTTTCCTTACATGAAGCTCTAAGTAGTCTCAGCAAATTAATGTTAAAGTCATATCAAAGACTAATATAGGAAAATAGGAGAAATGCCTGAGAATATCGAACACACTTTTTGACTGTATTGGTCTACATTCCTGATTTTAAGAGAGTCCTCAGGGCTTTATTTTTGCATTTTAGGAAAAGGAAACAATGCAATTCTGTAACTTCTACCTCTGAGTTACTTTCCTTCTTAGATTTTGTTTCCTTCTTCTTTTGTCTTACCATGTATGGTTGTATTCTCCTTTGAAATTCACTTGATGTTTGTGTTTCATTCTGAAGTTCATCAAAACGGGGACAGTCACGCAGAGGAAAATGCAGCCTCTGAAACAAGAGAAGTAAGCTTAGAATAGTTCTATAATGAATCAACACGCCGCTGGTTTCTCTGTTGCTGAGGTTGCCGATGTAGTACGTTTGATAGACTCACGGCTGTGCTACTGCTACTCCATAATGATTTGTTTGGGTGCCTTGGTCATGAATTCATTTAACATAAGCAATGGGCTGTGGTAGGTTGACTTTTCAGTGGCTACTTGTGTCTATGACAGCTCGATTTCCGTCAGTTTAACTGATTTTGCCAAAAAGCGGTTGTGCATGTCTGTCAGAGGATTGCTTTGGGAAATGAATCAGGATCCATGATTAGGAATTTAAAATGCTACGATTTCCCTCTTAATTTCTGAATCCCTCCTGATTCAGCTTGCCTCCACCTGGTGTGGAATCTTAATTGCTTCTGCATCTATACATCCTGCTCTCATCTCTTTGGAGGTAAGCTGCACATTATGGTAAGCATTTTAAGTACCACTTAATGAACAGAACTTGAAACAAGAGTGACAAGTAAATCATGTGGCTGAAATACCAAAAAGCTGTGAGCCTAATGGCTCTGCTCTTGTTTAGGGTTATGGTTCACTTTTAATAACTCCAAGGGTATGCATTACGAGGTTACCTTGTACTTCATATTTGAGCTGAACCATGTATACATACATATGTCCATGAAACTGTGCTTTGGTAAATATACCTTATGCCATTTCCAGCACAGATGATACCTGCTCCAGCACTAAGTGTCAGTGAAAAGTTAAAATGAGCAAATAAGCTTGTGCTACTTCAGCACTTTCTGTCACATCATTAGAGCATTTTTGACCCAGCACTAATATCCTATAACCATATAAATCATGACTTAGTATACAGTGGAGAAATCAACCTCAGTAGCTATGGCTTCTGTATGTGCAAGAAGCTCTGCCCTCACTCAGGCAGACATTTGCAGGCTGCACTTGGAGCACGTCTCTTTTCTCTTTGATTTATCAACGTGAAGCTTGTGGCAGCCACCAGCTGACACTGGCACACTTGCACTTGGACAGAGCTCCAAGGGTGCATTTTTCCTGTAACAGCAGCACACTGGAAGGTGAAGTCTCAAAGCTGCAATATGAAACTTGGCAGTGTTGTTTAATTACACAATAATAAATGTTTCTCTCGCTGTATGGCTTAATTATCCCCCTCTAGGTGTTATTAACGAAGCCACTCCCTTTGGCTTCATGATGCAATGCTCAGGACTGGTGCCTCTCAGGTCTCGATAGATCTCAGTGGCTGAAAAAATAAACTATGATTAGGGTTTTTTTACAGGACAGTACTTGGCCTCAGCTTCCCACTTTGTGTTGCTTAGGGCTTGAAAATACCCTCAAACATCTGCTTGGCTGAACAAGGGAGCAGTTTCTTTTTTCAGGTGGTTTGCATATTTAACAGGAGTTCTAAGTTGCTCCAGGGGTGTGTTTCAGTGACGCATCAATACCCAGTCCTGAAGCAGCAGTGATGAGGTACTAGTGATTCCTACAAAGGAGCTTGCCTTCTCCAAACAGGTCATTGTGCAGCACTGTGATTCTCCTAAGGGCTTTGAGGTTTTATTTGGCCAAAGCTCTGACCACTTTGATGCTTTTTTGGTCTTCTGGTGAAAGAACTTCCTCTAGTGTCCCACATTTAAATAACAGTGACAGCATTCTTTTCTGTTGAGAGACGGAGTTACGTTTGAAGCTGAATCACGCTGTGCCTAATCCAGTTTGTGGAAGCCCTTTTTCTCTGTACCTGCTTTCAAGTATGGCCTCCAAGAACGGAGAAATGCCAATGGGAGGCAGGTACAGCCACCCCCTAATGACAGAGTCTATCCTGTGATGTTGGTGACTGGACAGGCAGTTACTTAATAGGGTTTTTGTAAACATCAATTTCTGTACTCAAAGGCAGAAGAAAATTAGCCTTTATGTCATTAGACTCAGTAACTTTTTGTCCTTGTTCAACACACTGTTCCTTACACAGTCCTTGTCACAGGAGCCACTGAAATTCAAAACCTAAACCTGAGTCAGGCAGAGATACAGTAATACTTCTACAAGACCTTATTCAGGTAGATCTGCTCTTCGTATGAACTGCAAGGCAAGTGCCAGGGTTTCATTAAATGTTTGTGTAGTGCTGAGCATAAAAGGGCCCTTGTCTGTAATTAGGGTGCCTAAGTGCTACCAGAAGAGGAAAGTAATAATTGAAAGGTCATTACACTGGCTGGTGAAAATTCCATTGCTTGAATAAACTATGGAGCAAACTTCCTAAGTAGGGGAGGTCTGCCTAGCCGATTGCTGCTTAGAAAAGCACTTGTCCTCTCTAAAGGTCAAGGGCAACTTTCCTTTAATGCTGCCCAAAAATGTCCTTCCCAGGAGAAATGTTAGAGCTGTACCTTGGAAATGGTAATGTGTGGTCAACAATTCAGGTATTCTGCAACTACAGAAGGAGGACTTTCATGCTGCTACTGCATCTCACCTATGATATGCTTGTCAGCCAGTAGCTGCAGGTGATGTTTTCTGTTCCATTGAACTCAAAAAGAATAGAACATACTTTTTAGCTTCCCCCCCCCTTTTCCCTCTTTTTTTACTTTTGGGAAAGTTTAAGGTGTTACAAGAAATGTTTGGCCAGTACTCACCCGATCTGTTGATTTTTGAATAACATGAACTGGAATGGGTTGCCAGAGAAGCTCAGGGTTCCAAATTTGGCTGCTAGTTGGTGGAAAGAGGCCAGAAAGGTATGACTGGGCACTCATAATGGTGCGGTCATAATCTGTACTTTGGATGTAAAACTGAAGATAGAATGGCAGAAAGTTACGAATAAAATGGAAACAATACAAATAATAAGGAAATTCGACCCAACTCATCAATCCTGCCTTCTTGGTTTCAGTTTTGTGTTTCTGCATAAAGTCAAAACAGTGAAACTGTAACTCAGCTTTCAGTAACTCAGTACTGCATTTAGCTAAATGGAATTGCCAAAGCATCTCTCAGTTTGGAACCCAACCCTCAGACTGAACTGAGGATAATAAGAAAGCATGATTTAAAAGAAGGAAGCTTTTCATCTTCTGAGATTCAGAGGAACATTGATGTGTGTGCATGGGGTGCTAAGGGACATGGTTTAGTGGTGGATTTCCAGTGTAAGATTTACATCTGGGACTCAATTATCTTAAAGGTCTTTTCCCACCCAAATGATTCCATGATTCATCTGCTATACCTGAAGAATAAAGGCACTTAAAACTGTAAATCTCTCTTGGAAGCATGGAAAAGCTGTGGTTTTTATGTTTTTTTCCATCAATGCATCCTTCATGTATAGATCAAAATGGCAGTGTTATCTTCCCCACAATGATCTGTACTGTATGACAAGCATATCCAAACAACTGTTAGACCCCTCTTTTACAGGATGAAGTATGTGACATGGCACATGGATGCATTCGCCTTTCAGTGGGGTAGAAGAATACTGGGTCATTATGTATAAATTGCCAGTTCATTCAGTGGTTTGGAGCTGTTCAGCCCTGGAGAATTGGGCAGTTGAAGACCCAAGTTGAACGTAAGAGCTGAAAGTTAGACTTTAGTCTATGTTTTACCTTGACATAAAAGCCTGACTTGCAATAATGTTCTTCTATTACCTTAATTTTTCCATTAATGAAATGAATATGATGATGTGGTTTTATCTAGCACAAGTCCATGGTTCTGCTATGCCGGAGCAATGTCCTCCAGACAGTCTGCTATGTACCTCTTGCCGGTTGTATGTGCTGTTCAGAAAGCCGGAATATCTTTCCCTCATGTATTGTCCAAGTTCATATAGCTGTTGCATTCCAGTCTGTGAGGCAAGCATACAGATGATTATTAGATTAAGGTGACTGGAGACTTTTAATGTAGAAGTTTATTTTCTGTGTTCTTTCTTGTCTGCAGCAATCAGTTTCTAAGTGAACATTAGCCATTTGCATGCTGTAGTGTTGTGGTTTAAGCCCAGCCAACAGCTAAGCACCACACAGCTATGCACTCACTCACCCCTAATATGACTGGGGAGAGAATCAGAAGGTTAAAAGTGACAAAAGTCATGGCTTGAGATAACGACAGTTGAATAGGTAAAGCAAAAGATATGCACACAACCAAAGCAATACAGGGAATTCATTCGCTGCTTCCCATGGGCAAGTGTTCAGCCATCTCCAGGAGAGCAGGACTCCATCACACCTAACAGTTACTTGGGAAGACAAATGCCATCACTCCAAATATTCCCCCTTCCTGCTCCCCCCACTTTTATATGCTGAACATGATGCCATATAGCATGGAATATCCCTTTAGTCAGTAGAGGTCAGTTGTCCCCACTGTGTTCCCTTCCAGCTCCTTCTGAACCCTCCTCCAGCTCACTGCTGGGGTGGTGTAAGGAGCAGAAAAGGCCTTGACTCTACAAGCACTGCTCAGCAGTAGCTAAAACATCCCTGAACTATTAACGCTGTTTTCCAGCACAAATCCAAAACATTACTCCACATCAGCTACTGTGAAGAAGATGAACTCTACGTCATCCAAATCCAGCACAACTCTATATGTTGTAGGTGATCTAAGTTTTAGCAGAAATACTAAGTTTTAGCTATGAAATAATTATACGTCGTGAAGTGCTCAGGCTCTAACATCTGCTACAGGAAAAGCAATGCTCCTGATTCTATACGCGTACATTTGCCACAGAGCATAGCTCTGTAGACACTCCTGGAGTCACTGATGATCAACATTGTTCTTTAAAATGCATGTCAGTGAGAGCTGAGAAAGGATGATAAATAATGTAATAGTTATTATTGTTACTGCTCTGCTATTTGATCAGCCTCATAATCTGTGGCTTGCATTTCAAGTAACATTCTTCCATATTTGCCTTGGTACACCTGCAGTTGTCTTCGATTGCACACCGTCTTTCCTCTTCTTCATTACCAAAGCTGTGAGCTGAGCTTTTTAACTTCTAGCTGTTGGAGAAGTACATTCTTGCTTACTGTTGCTAAAAAGATAATAAAGTAGCAACAAGCTCTCAAAAAGAATCTGTGCCAAAGCAAGAACTTTTTGTCTTCTTGCAACATAAGCCATGTCCCTGGGGATAGTAAGGTGTTGTCCGAGTGTCTGAATTCTACAGGTCCTTCAAACACTAAATGCTGAACTGTCTCTGATTCATGCTTCTGCATCATGCTGAATTATTATTAGGAAATACATTGGCCTCTCTTTTCGCTAGACTTGCATATGTCAAATACAGTTAAAGAGCTAAAGCTTGATGTTGAAATGCCAGGGCAAGAAGCAGGTTCACTGCATCCTTGTGAAACTGGTCTGAAAGCAGCCTCATTAGAAGACACATTGTGCCCTGAAGCAGCCTTCTCCTGCACCTCTTCCCTTGTTTTGTGAGTAGATAGTTGCTAGTCAAATGATGAGATGGCACTAGGCCTGATGGGCAGGTTTCATCCCTTTGCCCTGTCACAGGGCCCAGTGCTTAACGGTCATTAGAACTTCATCAATGCTGAGTATAGGCAATGTTTAAACTTGCCATTTAAGTGAATGCAGACACACTATGAGAGAGCTGTGGGTTTTAGGAAGGGTTATAAAGCCAAGATGACCAAGATTTCAATTTAACAGAAGTTGGATGGGTAATGTTGCAAACATCTTTATGAATTCCATGGCGTGGCTAATACCAACTGTCAGTTCTTTGCATTTGCTGATGTTTCTGAGACACGCATAAAAAATCTGCCCACTTCCTATTTTAGTAGTATATATAAGTTCTTCTAAATAAGTCAACATACCTTGGTAAGTTGTCCAAATCCCTGGGGCCATTCACTTTCCTTGTGTAGATCAGTTGGAAAATTTACAACTGGTGTTCGATCACCATGTCGGAAAACCTAACAATATGACCAATAAAAATGGAGTTAATTCCTGGTAACATCCCTTCCTTACCTAGCTAGAAGTCAAGCAGACACTATCCTTCCAGGGCCATTTTTCAGATGAACATTCTGGAGAGTCTGCAGAAACCTAGTCAGTAAGACTGCAGTACATTCTGTACACACAAGAATAGGTATAATTATATAAGAATGGGCATGAGCTTGATGATTCTTCCTCCTAGAACATAAAATTAATCAGCCAAGATGTTAATGCTGAGATGACATCCATAGCTAGGCAGCCAGACAAGAAAACTGACTGAATTTTGGACACTTGGCACCTCTGAATACTAAACCAGTTATTGATGTGCTCATATTATTTAATTATTTTGGCATAGGCACTTGAAACTTTTGGTAACTACTTTCATAGCAGTATCTTTAAAAGCAATTCCATATACACATGGATCTTATGTGTGATTTCTTAATCATCCTAAAATATAGATGTAGATATATATAAACATTACACTGTTATCTGACTTAATATTTATTAATTGGATGCCAGAGACGGACTCTTCATCAGGGACTGTAGCGACAGGACAAGGGGTGATGGGTTCAAACTGAAACAGGGGAAGTTCAGGTTAGATCTAAGGCAGAAGTTCTTCCCTGTGAGGGTGCTGAGCCGCTGGCACAGGGTGCCCAGAGAAGCTGTGGCTGCCCCATCCCTGGCAGTGTTCAAGGCCAGGTTGGACAGGGCTTGGAGCAACCTGGTCTAGTTGAAGGTGTTCCTGCCCATGGCAGGGGGTTGGAACTGGATGATCTTAAGGTCTTTTCCAACACAAACCATTCTGTGATTCTATGAATTGTTTTGCATACACGTATGAAAATATTTTTTAAGGTCTGTAGGATTTTTTCTGTTAAACTCAGTAAGAGCAAAGGGTATGGTTGCTTTGCTACCCTAGACACTCCAGCATGGTGAATATTAGCGTGATATGTACAATCCTATGATTTTTACATCAGAAACCTTATATGAGTCTTTCTGGATTTTTATTCCAGCAGCCAAAAAAAGTAAAACTCCCAAATTAAATAGTTCTGACAAATTCTGAATTACCCTCCCTAAGCACGTTAGGTGTGGGATTAGAAAAATGAAGTCACAGAAGTTTCATGTGAAAGGAAATGCTGGAATACAGATTCGCAGGACTCTATCCAATTCAGTATTCATTTATTTACATATATTCAGTAATACCTCACTGGGATGTAGCCTGACTTAATGAATACTCTCCATTGCCTCATGAAGCCACATCGTTCTTGCCCTAACACCAGAGGTTTGTACGCATTTGTTTGGTTGGTTGGTGTTTTATGTTTATATTCTCCACAATAAACACAAGCAGTGTGGCTTAATGTTGTAATTACAACATACACCCTTTCCATCAGCCTCCTGCACTAATGTCGACAAACCTGCACTAGAGTAGGTGCTTCAGAGATGGAAAATACTATCCTTTAAAGGCAAATGCAATTGGATTTCTCCCTCTGTTCACTTTCTATACTAGACAGCAAGGTTCGCTAGAGTAGATGTTACAATTAGAACCACGTAGAAACCTGCTTATTATTATTTTTTTGCTTTGCTAGCTGAATTTTGCAGATGTGGCCAACCCAAAATGAATATTTTTCAGGAAATCAAGGAGGTTTTTTCACCCTTTTCAATAACATGTTGATCAACATGAATTTGAACTTTCAACAAAGCAAAACACCTTTTCTTTTATGAGAACTCATAAAAAAGAGCAAAAAAGTCCATAAAAGCTTTACTGTAGATTTTATCTTTGCTTTTCTATGTGATTTTTCATTCTGTGCATGTTCTTTTCTTAGTAATCTGGAATCTCATTTGGTTTACAATAGCAATTTCTTAGTGAACCTCTATTGAACAGGAGAATATGTAAAGAGCTACATTGTCTGCTGCCTGATTCAGTTGCATGCAGGAAAAATGAGAGAGGAGGACTTCTGTGTCACTGCTATTTCCTTGGTGTTTTGACATGCTGACATACATTGGTGTCAGGTAGGATTCATTAGCTTTTCTGGACAAGCTGATGCCTCTGTAGAGAATGAAGGTTACGTTCCCAATTGCAATGTGTGTGCATACTTGTTAAATTATCCAACTTCACAGAAAAACATTTTTATGAGTAACTGACACTTGCTCAAACCGACTGACGTGATGAAATGGCTGTTATTATTTCTTTTTAGGAGGTATGTAGCAATGGATCAACACTTGGCCAGTGAAAAACTACTGAAAATGTGCTAGATTTGAAATAGTGGTTTACAATACTTTATACTTAATGTGCAACGTAACCCTTAGTGTGTATTTCAAAGTCACATCACTGAAACCCTAAAATCTTTCAGTAAGCCAGAACAGAGGTTAGAGGGCAAAGAGGTCAAGATCAAAAGATACTCAAATCTATGTAGGAGCAGGAGACGTAAAGGAAAATATTTTCTCTCTTTGTGACCTTAAGAAATGGAAGCAGTGGAGGGTGTTCATTCTAAAAAGCAGCACAGTTTCTCCAAGTCCACACAAAATAGAAGAGTTCAGTTCCTTGTTTGTATTTCTGCATCTTCATTGCACAGTGACATGGAAATATGATATTAACACTAAGCTGGAACTGGGAAGAAAGAAACGACGACATCTAAGAGCAAAACCCTGCTTTTGGGAATTGAAGAACTAAGCTTTTCAGACCTCCTTGCTTGCTACTCCTGAAAATGACCTTGCTTCAGCTGTAGCTGGAAATGAAACAGTGACCTTATGAACAACCATTTAACCTAGAAGGCTTAACTTGTTCAGGCATTGCTACTTTTTAATAGACTTTTTTGTTAGAAAGTATTAAGTCTTTAAGAAGAGCTTGTGTATTTGGAAGTTTGTATTTTTCATTAGAAAGCCTGATACTGTTAGGGAAAGAAAATATATCCCTACAAAGCTTCAGATTAATTTAAAAACATACATGCTGCAGCATTTATTGCTTCTGGGCTACACATTGCCTTCCCGACCTTTCAGAAGGCATAGAACATGGCAGGGTGAGCAAAAAGGAACAAGGAGGCCTCATAAAAGGTGAAAAGATAACTAGAAATCAAGAAGGACGGGAGGGCAAGGAGGATGTACACGAAGAGAGCAAAGCAGACCTGTTTGGCATGTTCATTTCAGCACTTTTGTCTAGCTGCAGTGCTTCACCTCAGTTAGTTCTCCAAAGGAACAGATGGATAGTTACCAAATACCCTCTCCTTTAGCTCTAATACAGCTTGAACCTGATTTGGTGTCTGGATTCTCCCATTCACTCTTTGTAACTTGGTGAGGGTGGTCTCTTCAGATCAGAGTGGCCACAGGACTCAGGTTTTGGCCAGCATTTGCTTCTGTTATCAGGTGAAAAATCATGTTGGAAGAAAACTGGTGTGAGGAAGAGTGAACTGAGAATAAGGCATATGTAGTATATGTAGCACTTTCATTCAGAAATGCCATGGATTACTGTGAATTATCTTACTTAGAAAACTTAGATGTTTTCATTGACAGACTCGACTTACTTACAAGAAAAAGGTGACTTGTTTTGAAGCCAGCAATAGGAGTGAAGAAACAAGAGAGAAATGAAACCAATCATACTGCCAGTGCAGGGAAACCAGAGACATACTGAGCAAGTCTAGTCAAGTTTCCAAATGGCTTGGCTTGATTAGACAGACAGATAACATGCTCAGACAACGCTTCCTGTCCTGAGTTACAAGAAGAAAGACATGATGAAATCGCAGCACCTCAGAAACCACACCTCTTTGTATATATGACAAGTGAAATGCATGCCTGTGCAGAGGCAGAAGTGAGAGGTCAAAACTTCTGTATACCAAAGCAATAAATCAGTATTTCATTTCTAGTTGGGTAATCGATGGTCCTGTGTATTACCTGTTTTCTTCTCTTCTGCCTAGTTTAACTTCAGTGTGCAAGAATTATGGTGAAGATTAACGTGTACATGTGAGGACGAAGATTGAGAGAGCATTTTGACAAATTGTCTGGAATTAGAGGTTTTCAGACAAATGGACTTGTGGCCAGTAACCATAATGCAGAGAATCAGCACAAAGATGGTAATTGTGAGGAGAGGGAACACAGAACAGTTCTAGAAGTGAGCAAAAGAGAGCATTTGTCTGAGTTTTACTCCCCTGCAGATGGATTTTATATTGTGCAGTTCTGCTAAGAAAGTGTTAAAAAGCCATTATGACATGCTTTCACAACGCAGTAATAGTCTCCTATGAAAATATAGAAGTTGCCTGGTACAGCTGGAAAATGGCTATTGAATTAGGAAGATGCCTTTCAAACTTACCTTAACTGTAGCCACACAGTCATTATATCCCATTATACCAATGAAATGCTCTGGGTCCAATTCCTATCTGATTGATTTATGCTAGCAGTTCTGTTCCTATGAAAATCAAGTCCGCGAGTACAGAAGGCAAAGTTCAGTTGAACGCACAGAAACCATGCTTTGTTAAAAGAGATGTATGTTGATCATAAGAATAAACCTGTTGTAATGTTTTCGGGAGATTGGTCAGTCTGAGGAAAGTATCAGGGATAAAAGGAAGGCAGTTTAAATGGAATTTACCTCTTATTAATTTGGGATAAGCTACCCTATAAATAAATGATGTCATGTCTCTGTTTGTTTGGTAGGTGGCCATGTAGTTGTGGTAAGCAGCTGATTTTGGATAAGAAGCCTCTGTCTCCATAATGGGGAGCATTTCCTGTAACTCCTTCTGCAAACCCAATGCTTGTTAGAACACAAGAACAGCTACAATTCAATAAAAGTCTCCTTCCCTTCATAGAGCTAATTCTGCAATGCTTGCTGACTGCCTGATTTCATCTGTGTGTCCTATTCTCCCTCTTATCACTGAAACAACAGTTCAGTATATTGCTATACACAGAACATTACTGGAATTAGTGTTGAGTTTCTGCTGTGTGTAGTGTCTATTGGAGCCATAAGCCTGAGCAGGAGTAGGAACTGGTTTTTCCTGTGCTCTCTGGCCTCTCTCCAAGTGGCACATCTACAATGCAGCCAGCAGACAACTAGATGTGAAATATTTTATGTGGAGCTAGTTGATATGTTTTGGACGCAGTACTTCTATCTGTTTTCTGTATGTGCACATCATGTCTCAAATAGAGAAAGAAGGAGGAAGACCTTGAAATTCCTATTTCTGATCTCCATGCCTTTGTATTGAGAAGATCCCTTTAGATATTTTTATCATAATACCTCTTATTAAAAAAAGAAATTGGAATGAAAAGGGGGGTTGGAACTGGATGATCTTAAGGTCCTTTCCAGCCCTAACTAGTCCATGATTCTAGGATGCAGTCTTCATGATCTAAACTAATTCATTGAATTAATCTCTCTTTCACCTGAGGTTCTGGGCAAAGCGACACTGAGTTAATGTCTAGTTACTTTAAAATAAGAAATAGCCCAGCAAAATTCCCCTATTGAAGTCCATTTTCAGCCTCATTAATATCAGTTAAAGCAACATGTATCTCAAATCTCTACATAAAAATAAGCCTTTCTGTTTCTCAGTATACTGCTGTGCCAGTTCAGTTATTCTGAAACGGAAAATACTTTTGTTTTTGTGGTAACTTCTGAAACATCATAAGCTTCAGCTTTCAAGCACAGAAAGGGTAGGCCATAATCGCCAGCTCTTAGAATATGCACCAGAGTCAGTTAAATTAAGCAAGAACAGGTAAACTTAGACCTCAGATCTCTTAACTGCCTTGTACTATGTGTCTACGACAAAGCTAAGTTGTTCAGTTATCTTGAAAGAATAGCTAGGCATTAGGAGATGGAAATTCTCATATCCAGAGGCATTTGTATCTTTGAACTCAGCAAGCAGAAGGGCAGCAGTAGTTATTCCTAAGTCTAAAAAAGAGGCACAGCTACTACACACCTTGTTTGATTCGACAGCCATTATCTAATTCCCCATATTCCATGCAGCAAAATAGGAAACAAAACTACTTACTGCAACCACAAACTTCAGTTCTCTTTCTGCAGTAGTCTGTTGAAGCAGAAGGAGGGCAATATGAAAGGAAAAACACAGGATCCTGGATGGGTTGGGAAGCCATATCACTCCCATCCTGGCAGAGGATGAAAACAGGCTTTGTAGCTCCAGCAGCTGCTCAGGCTGAACAGCCCAGACGTCAGGCTGTACTTTCAAAAGGGGTGGAACTGCTGCTGGTGAACTTCAAATCCAAGAGGAATGTTGTGTGACTACACAACAATTTGCATTGCCCTTTGTTTTCAAATGACTGTTTACATTCTATTTAATAAAATCATAATTCAGTTCCTTTTTCTCTCTGATATTTTTCTCTTTTGGAGTTTAAGGATGAGTTTAAAATAGAAGGAGTTACTAAGCATTCCTAATTTTTTAACCCACCTGTTCTGTTTCCATTTCTCAGAGCTTGGAATTTTTCCAGACCATAGCATAGCCATGAGGATAAACTCAGAATCAGGAGTAAGGTAAAACTCTTTCCTTTCTGCTGCTCAGCTAGTCTTCTTTCCGCTTCCCTCCCTTTTTTTCTTTCCTCTTCTGCACTGTCACAGTGAAATCAGAGTAATTATTTCAAACAACACTTCCTATAGGTTAAGATTACCAGTTCCTCAGATAGTTGAATAAATCTTGCAACAAATATGTTCTTTAAGATCCTTGCTAGGCAGTTATTTGCTCTTCGACTTGTGTGTGTTGCTTTGCTTCCACTTGGAACATATATATACTTTTGTAACTGCTTACGTCAAGTTCTTTTTTTGGCTTCAATTCTCTAAGAGAGGAACCAGCCCTGGAGCTCACGTTTTTATTGTTACTGATTGAGAACACTCTTTCTGACAGGAGCTCACTGGCTTTGAGAAGATCACTCAGCTTGCCTCTGCTGACTTCCTCTTTATAAAATAACAATACTTGTGGACTTGATTTCTTAAGGATTTTCTGAGTAAATGAATCACATTTTGCAAAGGCCTATAAATAGAGTTCTCTAAATGTAAGAACTTGAGATCTCTTGTGTGTTGTCCAAGTCACTCCATTACTGTCATATCAATACCTGTCTTGGGGTCTTCTCTCCAGCTCTCTGCAGCAGTGGTCTCTACAGCAGGTATTTTACCATGTACCAGAAATGCTGTCTCTAGGTCCCTAAGTCCCACTAAGCCTCAAGTGCTCTCTTCTCTGAGTTGTGTGAACGACCTTCTGCATCTATTTTTTCAGATGGGTGTGAGCAGAAGGGAGGAGGACCACAGCTCCCAGGCTTCCCCAACTCTCCTGTCAGTTCATGCCCAGTTTTGAGCCGTTCCTTAAACATTCTTCCTCCACTGATAACTCCCCACCGTCCTTTTTGGTTGTAGTGATTGTGCCTATGCAGAAAGTATAAGAAAATAACTTCATGAATATATAATACTTTGCCTTTTTGAAAGCAGAAATAAGTTGATCATCTTCCTCTGCTATTCAAGAGTGCCTCAAAATCAATAATGCATATCCTATTTTTCAATCTATGTCTTGTTTTAGATAGGTGGTTCCTAAGCTTTTTGGATCAAGGAATTCTTGTTGGCTCTCAGATTTGGTTGTTGTCCTTCCTAAGCCCTTACCATGAGATTCATAACTGGTTTGTTTTTACAAGATTTGTTGCTTTATTGTCTTTCTTCAGTGAGTGACTATGACCAATGAAGCCTCATTATTATGGAACCCTTATAGTAATTTCTCTTTAGCCTGGAACTCAATTTGCCATCCAGCATCACAGGAATTTCAAACAGGAATGTTTGAAAATATACAACAACTACATTTTACAGAAAATCTTCGCTAGCATCTCTTGATGAAATTTCAACCCAAGACCAAGAATGTGACAAGTAGTTCTGCTTTCCATGGCTTCACTCTTCCCTTTGGCGTTATACTTCGCTAATGAGATAATTTTATGCCAAAAAGAATGGACACCACCAAGTCTTAAATAAACCTCTACACATTCCAAAATGGAAGAATACCCTCATTCATGTGCCATAGTGGTTAAGACAGCATCCTGTAAGAGTCCTGTAGGTAAGCTGTATGTTGTTAGCATGTATTTAATTTGGGAACTTTCTTGCTTGTCTTGATTGTTTCCATTTTTACTGTGCATTTGGCAGATGGAAACTAGTCATATTCTGCAGCCATCAAGTCCTTATCCTTTTGGGGAAAAATAGCTTCAAAAGAAAAATGTAATTCCTAAATCAATCTAGTTACAACTACCCAAGCATTACCATGCAAGTGGCCTGAAACAATTTGAATCATGTTTATGTTAATTTGGCTTATTGGCATATATTTTAATGATGAAATTGTGGCATTAAGTAGGATTAGCTTAAACATAATTGTCCATTTTAAGTGCATGTATCTGTCTTGAAGGCTTGCTGAAGCATAGCTAGATTGGCTTTGAAGTGGACTGGTTGCAAAAGAACCCACGCTTTTCTGTACACAAGGGTTACCTTAGGTAACTGCTGCTGGTGAAGCACAACCTACACACTGAAAGGGTGGAAATCGTTGCAATCACGGCAGCAGGATGTAAAACTGCTGCTTGTGCTTATGGACCAGGCCGCTCACATGGAGAAACAGCTCAGGTTTTTTTACTGACTGAATTTGCAGATCAGCACTTAACCTAGTTTGCAGTTTATCTGCAACCATTTTTTTCAGGCTTTATTTCAGTTGAAAAAGGGAAAGATATGAAAAAGGGAAAAATGTTGGTTTCAGAAACCAAAGTGATACATTTTCTAAGCACCATTTTGAAGCATTTATGACAAAAGCAGAAGACTGCCTTGCAGTCCTGTGTTGGGGTGACTTCCCCCTATGCGGGGAGTAGGAAGGGCCAAAGGAGTTAATTTGTGACATAGGAAGAATTAACTTAAGCTGATGGCAACACATGAACCTGTATCTTGTACTACAGGTGCAAATGCCCTAAGTACAAAGTTAGTATTCTACGGCAGGAGGGGGGAAGAAAGTGACTACTCCCTTGTCTTCTAATAATTTCTTAGTTTAACCCAAATTTGTAATATTCACCTGGTTACAGGGCACTCAGAAAATTTATTTCTGGTCTTATGATTAAGATGTTTGCCTAAGAAACAAGCAGCTTAATTTGAACACTAGGAAATATGTAAGCAAAGTGAACAGCAGTGAGGAAGAGGCAGAAAGCACTATTCGTCTTCATTTTCCTTCTGAAACTCTTCAGCCTGGTGGTGATTTTATTTTCTGGAAGGTGTAGAGCCAGATCCTTTTGGGAAAGGAGGGATTTAACTTGGGTCTGCCACATCTCAGTTGAGTCCCTAAGCACCGAGTCAAAAGAAGGAACACGTATTTGTAGTACTACTTCCATAGAGTCATAGGATCAGCCAGGTTGGAAAAGACCCTTACAATCATCAAGTCCAACCTTCACCCAGGGCTGACAAGTCCACCACTGTATAACAGGAAAAATAGTGAACATCATGAGCTACACCTCACCTATATTACAGCATCTATGACTATTCAGGTTACTGTACTATAGCAAGCCTTCTTTAAATCATGACTGGACTGTCTATGCATTGTTCGTGATGGGAGGGAGTTGCATTTTCACATGCTTCTGCTTTTGCAACATGATATAAAAAACCCAAATAAACACAAACCTTTTACTTTGTATTCCAAATAATTCCAAAGCTGAACTGTAATGTGTTGGTCATTTCTTCTTTAAGAGAAACTGAAATGAAACTGTGGTTTCAAACCTACAAAAGACTATGGGACAGAGTTTTCAAATGGAGTCAGCTGGTGCAGTGTTAGGAAAACATCATTTAGAGTGTTTTATTTTTCATCCAGTGACATCCCCAATTTATAGTCATATAAGAGCTGGAATTGATGTTTAAGACTTAAAGAACACTGTATTTATTTTTCCTTGGAGTAAGCAAGGTATAAATGAAGTCTTCCTTTCTGTGTTTCTACAGTGACAATCCTGAGAGCAAAAAAACCTCATAAAGAATGGGATGGGGTGATGGGGTGTCTGTTGAATGGGGATTGGGGGAATAAAATAATTCTGAAATCTCTTTATTTGCAGATTAAATTTGAAATCTGATTTTACTTAATAGGAATCGGAATGTTCAAGGTACCTTCACTAGGACATGTGGTCTGATGATGTGATGTAAAAATGATGAAAACCACCTTCTATTTGTGTTCTGTGAGCTGTGGCCTTAGCTAGGGTGCACTTGCATAGTTGCGCTGCAGTGGTCCAGCTCCATGGTCACCCCTAACAGACAACTCTGTAGGACAAATGAAGGGTCTTCATGCAGAAATAGGAACAGGTTCAGAATAGAAGAAAGGATGCCTAGGAATTTGTTTCTGGCAGCCAAGTCGACAATCTTAATAGAAGCCTAATAGCAATAAAGATAAAATCTTAAACTCTCCTCTCTATTTGCTTTCTTTCATCAATTTTTATTTGGATTGCTTCTTGTTACAGGAGGAGTGACAATCAGCTGCATTGGTTTGAGATGAAGCATTTAAATGGCTTGCACTACCTGTCCTATGAGGGCTGCCAGAGCTAGGAAGGCTTTCTGCTGGTGCCCATTTTGGGTGTTAAGGTAATATGGAAAAAACAAGCTTGTTTTAATGTGTATTAAGAAAGAGCTAGAACTGATTGTTTCATGCAGTTGGAAAACATTTTATCCTTGTTTGGATGCTATGGTAAAAGTGCTTGCATTTTTTCACTAGAGGGAATAATTCATTTTTATCTATGTGTTACAATTTCTTTGCTGTGAAATCTGGCTATAGCTCTTCTGGTTGAACTGTGTTTCTTATGCTGGTTTAGGAAGCACAGGATTTGTTGCTGGGTCCTGCTGAGAAGAGAAGAGTTTTACAGTGAGAATTCTGAAACTTGAGTTCTTGCTGAAGGAGAAGGGGATCTTTTGATTCTTTTGTAGCTTATGGGATAGCAGTTATCTGCCTATGCTGTATTTCTAAAAAGGGATATACATTTCATAGGCTTGGCATCCATTTTAGAAGCCTGGTCCAAGGGAAAGAGTCTAAAATGGCAAAATTTTCTGCATGTCATCTGTTACTCTTTGAAATGACCTGAGAGCAACCAGATTGTTGGAAAAAGTCCTGTCCACTGTGAGAAAACAAAAAGTCAGAAAGCCTAGTTCTGCAAGCAAAGAAATCTCCACTGTTTTCAGAAGGTAGTTGCATCTGGTCATTATGATCCACCTTTTGTTCACATCAAGAACAGCATGGGCTGACAGTCTTTCCTGAAGAACAGACTTATATGATCAGATCAGGGTATACAATCAAGGTAACATAACAAAAAGAAGGTGTTTGAAAAGGTTTTTGAAACCAGAAGTGGTTTTTCTTTCAAAATTAACACTTGGCCTTGCTGTCTTTTTGGAAAGAGGTAAAATGGCTCAATATTGGAAAGCCTTGTCGGATTAGACAGTTGCCTGCCAGGTCTTCATGGTAGCCATCCTGGCTGTTTATAGGCTTCTCTTAAGTCTACAGCCATGGCCTATTCTTTCTGGAAGTCTCACCTTCCTTTTGTGTAGAGGTGGGGTATTTGTGCATGTATAAGAGAAAAAAGACATTTCTTAGCTAAGTAAACGGCCATTATCCTAATTTTTGTAGCTTCTGAGATATGTTTGTGTTAAATACTTCATTACTTCTTGAATAAAATAAAGCACAAATATGCTGGGATGACTCCTCCTTTTGGAAACTTCTTTTGAAGCGCTGCTTCCGTCACGAGTTCTGGAAGTTCTTGTCTCATTCTTTGAAAGAGAGCAACACTCCTTTAGAGGTATTTTCCAATTTTGCTGAAATTTAAGGCTATAGTCCTTCATAACACTTTTACATTCTTGAATTAGTCCTGCCAAAGTCCTTTTGGAATCAAGAGATGTTGAAATAGTACTCTGGTTTTGTACTGCATTTGGGTTTTACCGCTTGATAAAATGAAGTGAATGTTCATGAAGGATAAATCACCACTTCTTACAATTTTAGCATGTTTTCTTTTGATGGAGATCAGGAGACTTGTTTGTCATGTGATGGAAGTTAATGAGAAATGTTAGATTGTTGTCACGTCACAGTGTGGGAGGAGATGTTTCATGAAGCTAATCACACTGAAGACCATGGAGGGAACACCTAAAAGTAAGACAAAAAGAAAGAATCATTCATAGCAAATGGCCTCATTCTCCAAAACCATGGCAAATCTGTTTAGCAGCACCTCAAGAAGTGCATGGCTCAGCTTAAGTTCAGAAGTGTTAACAAATTTGCTCCCATTTTGATGGAATTAGGAAAAGTCTGTTGAAACGGTGAGACAGTCCACATCAAAACCTTCCTGAGCAGCCAGAAGAGCACAGAGGGATCTCCTTGCCAAATACGCTGAGCTGCCTTCACTTCCTGTGTTCCACACTGTGGTCACTGTCATGCGGTGGAACTTGGTTCTGATTTATACTGCTATTCTCTTGTGTGACCTGTAATAGCAATGCTTGCCTAACCTCTGTATTTTCATGTACTGCACATATAAGTCATCTCCATGAAGCTTCAATTCAGCATTTTCTGGGAACAGCTCAGTTTGGGAAATGGTATCTCCATGTAGAATATCTATGCTAGTGCTGTAACTTCACTGATTTCATTAAGAAGAATCACATTTATGGGCTTCTGTTAATCAAATGCTCTGAGGCATGTATAATCAAAGTATTAACATGTGCTTTAGCAAAGGACAATATTTGAGATTATTATTGACAAAGATGACAACAGCTGAAATCAGTGTGTGTATTTGGTGCAAACGTGACCTATAAACTCTGCATCACTTTTCAGTTCAGTTCAGCTCCATGGTGTTAAAGATCAGCTGTTCCAGCCTATCTGCAGTCATTGAGCATTGGCAATACCCGGTGGTTTAGCTCTGCTAGCAGGCTGTGTTGTGCAGGCTCTGGGGCTGTGTGCCTTGGAATTTCCTCAAGTGCCACTCATGCATAGCAGAGTTTACAGCTTCTGCCTGCAGGAGGAGAGTTATGAGCCCCAGAATTGGGATCTGGCCCCAACAGTTACTGAAATGGAACCATTCTGAACCATGATAAAATTGGGGAAAGTGTCAGATTTTGATATCACAGAATCCCAGACTGGTTTGGGTTGGAAAGGACCTTAAGATCATCCAGTTCCAGCCCCCTTGCCATGGACAGGGATGCCTCACACTAGACCATGTCACCCAAGGCAAATATTGTTTGATTACTAATGAAGGCAGTTGTGAGCAGTGATGCTGGACTTGGTGTAAATTGCCTGAACACCATCTAACTTCTACTTAAGCAGAATTTGAGAACTGAAACAGTGCACAGCCTTTTTTTTTTAACTTAAAAGGCTAAATATTTCTATCTTTATTCATGCCAAATTTTGATTATATGATTTTTTTTTTTACTTAATTACTCTGTCAGTTTAACAGTTTGCTTTGTGAAGGAAGGGAACTGATTTCCACAAAACTTAGATTACTAAGTACTGCAGTATAAACATTAAATACTTACCATTGTCTTCCATGGCTAAATTAGTTGTTTGGCCAAAAAAAGAGTCATTAGAACCAACCTCCTCCTTCCCCTAAGGAATTAATCACCTTCTGCAATTAAATGTGGTCATTTCCTGATAGGTCTCCTGAGAATTTGTGAGCAGTAAATATAGTGAAGAAATGTATTTAGTGAATCGTTTAGTTGCTCATTTTTCATTCATTCTGACTGAACTGTTTCCAGTGTGTTCATGGATTGCAGACATTGAACTGGAAATGATTTGTAAGCAGGCGAGTTGGCTTGCCTGCATTCTTCTGATCGCTAACATTTCAAATTCTTCTTAAGCTCAGTGATTCAGAAAGCCATATGGTATTTTATAACATTAGGTCGAACATTTGATCATCAAAAAAAGTGGGGACACTTTTGAAGCCTGGGGCCTGTTTGCTTTTCATCTCCCTTAAGGAATATAGAGCTAGCTACAACAGAGAGAATGTAATTATCTGCCTTCGTGTTCCCTCTTTCTGCCTGCAAATGTAAATATCATCAGTAGTCAAAATGGAAAGTCAGACATCCTAATATTGAGATAGAGACAACCTACCAGGGGATGTGTTAGTATGCCAATGTGTGTCTGTATATGTTTGTCATTCTGGTAAGTACCGGTTGGGTATACTATTCAGTATTCATCTGTTTTGATCTCTGAATGTCTCCTACAATCAAGGGAATGCATAATGTTGTTTATCAGCTTCTATTTCAGCAGAAAGTTGGGCTGGAATGGATAAATGTGTCAATGGAGTAGAAATTATGGCCAGTGGGTACAATTCTGTCTTAGTGGACCTGCATATTTTTAATTTCATACCAGACCCTTATGAAAATGCTTGTTACCTCAAGTGAGCTCTTGGCAGAAGATGTAATCCTGACTTTACATTTGGCTACATGTCCCCAGAGCACTTAACTTACCTCGTTTTATGTCCTACATCCTACATTCTCTTGTCCAGTAGTGTACGAGGACTGGGGCGACCAACTGAGTGAATCTCTCCAGTGGACAGCGAAATCTGCAGCCAGGGAGAGTGAGGGGGTGAGGATCTCTCTGAGTATTATTCCGATAGTACATTTCTATGGTGTATTGCCTGTTCCAAGATACAGAAGGGTCAAAAGTTAGGTATGCAGAACCACTCCGACTTTCCAGGATGTAGGGGTAGTACTTCGGGACAAACTTGTAGCCAGCTAATTTTTCTGGCTGTTAATATGTGCCATTAGTACTCTGAAGGGATCTTTTAAACAATAGATGGTCCACAGCAACTTGCATGTCATTTGTCTGCTTGGGAGAGAATCAAGGAGTTAAATAGATACAAAGAGTAGAGTAAAACCTCTCATTACTGTAATGAACTAATACATAGAGGGTGTTCAGGCTGCAGTGCTGTGATTCCGCTACTATCAATAGCTGCTAAATTGAGTCAAATTGTAATAATTCCAATAAATCTATAATCTTTTTGTGCATAGTGAGCCTTGTTGCATCCAGTTCAAGTCATCTGGGGTATTGCTTTTTAGGAAGATGGTAAGTTCTCAGTCCAGCGTGCAGATACTTGCCCATTTTTTTCCTGGTAAAGTTCAAAAAAGTGACAGGCACTGTAAGGAGGCAGTTTCCCATTGAAGACATTGAGTGCCATCTGTAAGGCAGCAATGGTGGCTGCATGCTGTAAATAGAAGAAACCTTTCATTAAAGGCCTATTGAAAATGCTTGCATGTACCTATTACCTAACAATATGTTCAGCACATTATCTGTTACCTGTCCACTTAACATTATTGATGGGGCCTCATTAATACTTGCCCTCTGCAACATTAAGCAGTTCTATGGTGGCTGTATGAACTGAGATGCTACATGTGTAAAATATGCACATCTCTAAATATCAAAGAAGTCTTAGTCACTTGTACTTCTTATTGAGGTTAGTAGGAGCTATAAAAACTTCTAAAAAGAACTAGTGGCTTTGCATGTTAAATAAAGAGTATTTTAGATCAGATTAGTTAGCTGTTTGGCTGATATACACCTGATAGGTCATAATCTTACTGCTGTTTATAAATAGGAGCTTTTTACCAAGAGCAACCCAACAATTTCATTCTCCAGTGACAGCATTTGCACATTCTAAACAAAACAGTTGAGTAGCTGCCTTCATAGACCTT